ACTTAACTGGTTCATGCAACTTGTTAATTTTCATAGTGGACGTTGTCACTTGTTAAGTGGTCTTTTTAGGTTCAAGACGAAGACCAAGAAAACTACAAATAACATTCAAGGTACATTGCTGTCTAAGCAAGTGGAGTGTATCTTGGGCCAGTAGACTTACATGGTCCACTTGGGGAAAGAATTATCTGTAATATACATATACACATACACACACATATATGTAAATATGTGTGTGGGAAAGTACAAAAACTTTGAATTACTAATATATAATTTGATAACCGAGAAGTATCCTAATCATGAGTCCTTTTAGGAGTGTAGTTATAACTTGAATTTCGAGTACACACAACTACCCATAAATTATACACATTGAACAAATCATAAATCTTTTACCATAGTCAAATATATCATAATTCCTAAAATCTTTTAACTTGATCTAACATCAAGATTCGACTCCATATAGAATGTTATTAGGTCGGACGAGCAAATTTGAATATCATACCAATACTTTTACCTTTACTATACAGTTTTAAAACTAATTATTCAAATTAAAATCGTTCTTCTTCTCTTTTTTTTTTTTTCAAATCATCCCATATATTCATTGAATAAAAACTGCACCAAGAAAAAAAAAAGTCCGTCCTTTTTTTCCCTAGATATGCAAAATTCAAATATGGTCCATCCCCATTTTATTATTTTTTGCCATGGTTCGTGACCTAGTCCTGCTTAAGCCAAAATACAGAGACTTTGACTTGGGTCCTCAAAGACTCAGTGAAAAGGGCATGCCTCCGCACCTTCTGATCAATTCTTTCAAATCATACTGCATGAGCTGAGACGGAATAGAGGCGAAAAAACACGACTTTTATGAGCTGTCTCAGTAGTGACCAATTTTATTTTTATTTTTTCTTACCGGTATGATTAGTGACTAAGTCGATAATTTTCTAAAAGTTAAGTTGGATTTGTTCGAACTGGACTTGACTTGTTTTGTAGTTAAGTTGGATGCACCCATGGACTAGCCCACCCTACTGGGTTAGGGCTCGTCAAAACAAACCGAGAATTTTTAAATAAATCAAACTTGGACAATTTATTAAATTCGTTTGAAAAAACAAACTTAACAAGTTTAATTTGATTATCCGCCCTAATTTTAGTTGCTCTTCCTTTCGTGATGCGGCCCTTTGTTTCCATGTGATACTCATGCACAACCAATTGCTGTACAGTAAGAAAAAAAGTCATACTTCTTTTGAAACCCTCGAGATACACACCCAAGACTTTTGCTTTCATTCTCCTCAAAATTAGTAACTTCGTCTGCACATATATAGATTTTTTTACTTTTCTCTTATTTGATAACCTTCGAGAGGTTTCCCTATATTTCCTTGACTGCTTAATCTTTTTCTAATTTATACCTAGCTACATAATTACTAAATGGGAGGGTACGGACTTGCCTAAATTTCTCTCGAAGCTTGATCACTTAATCTTAATGTGTATTTGATGATGACGACGACACTCGGATATAAAAACCTGTTAACGTACTCTTGCGGTCTGGCCGAGAATTTTTTTTTCTAAACTAGTGGGGTCGAATCGAATGCACTATGATTTCAAACAAATTTAATAAGAAAAAGCCGAAGACGTCTTCTTTGGTTTCAGAAGACCCAAGTCAAAGTCGTTGTATATTTATTTGCTAAAACAATGCAAAGTATTTTCAAAAGTCAAGCACAAGGAATGAATGCGCATGACTTTGAGGAAGAAGAATAGTTTATGGGTAGGTCAAAATAGTGTTTGCAAATTTATAATACAAAATAGAACAGATGTTAATAAGTTTATTAAACGGTCATCTAACAGTCATCAACATTCTTATTAAAATTATTCATATTACACCGTGTTTTTAGACACGGGTTATTCCTAGTTTGTCAATAATGATTGACTAAATTGATCAAATTATTATTGGTATTAAGCAAAATATGTTTCAAATTCGCATTTTGAATTACAACAACGAACTTCACTATATTTGTCATTGTCACTATCAATGTGAAATGTTACAGCGATCATGCAGTTATCTATTTCACATTATGTCTAATTTCGCGAAATTTTGACGGTGACTATGACTATTACTGTGATTGTGTTGCTATCTTGTTTAGATTACTGTCTAATTTTGTAGAGTTTTGACAGTGATTGTGGTTGTCACTATTATCGTGTGACTGTCTATTCACGTTACTTTCTGGTTTCGTAAAATTTTGACAATGATTGTTATTGTTATTGTGATCTTGTTATTTTCTAGTCTCCCATTAGTCTATGTTTCAGCCCAACCACCTTCCATAACACCTCCATCCTCAACCATCGCCCCTTACGTTCAACCCACACGAACATTATTATTACTGTGATAGTGACTATTATTAGTACTGTGTCGCTATTATTATTATTGTTCATTTTGCAATATATCTGTTTATGTCATTAATAATAAATTAGTTTTTATATCTTTAATTTTCTTTTAAAACCCCCAAAACAAGCTATTGTCCTTATTGAGTCAAAAGTCAACAACTGTGGATCGGCGGCCTGAAAAAAATAAAAGACTTAATTTTTTTTCTTGGTAACCTTTTAATTTGACAAAGTAAAAGATGATACCAGGAAAATAAAAATTTTAATTTCAAAGATTATTACTTTTTATTGAAATTATTATGTTATTAAATTAAATTCTAACAACATTACTCATCAATAAATGTGTTTTGTTTTCTGCCTATGTACTTTTGCGGTGCTATGCATGTAATCAAAAAAAATTCATTTATTTGGATAATGTTTAACTTTTAATCAAAGAAAATTCATAATGTTTAACTTTTAAAATCTTTCCGAAGATAATGTGATGTCATTTTACTTTTATAGGTGAAAAAAACCAAAATGGTCTAGGATTGGGGACAATGGTAAACTATTGAGAAATTAAAAGATTAATCTAAGATTCTTTAACTTAAAGATAACAAACAAATAACAATTTACCTAAAAAAAAGTAAACACAAGAAAAAATTGAAATTTTTTTAATTTAAGGGTGAAACTGCCATTAATACTAAATAGAAATAGAATCGTGACATTTGTAATTGTTATAAGTGAAAATTGTCGAAAAGTACATTCTCATGTTCTTTTTTGTTATTAAGTTCAAACTCTATTTTTTTTTAAGATATTAAGGACAGGCACTTAAAATAATTTTAAGTACTTTTTCAATATTTTTTGATTTTACTACTTTGATGACACGAAAGCAGGGTTTATCCCATATGGTGGTCCTACTACGACCTCCTTGGTGTAGAGTTTAATCGAAGGGTGTGGACTGTGGAGAGGGGAGGGGCGGGGGGGTTTGTTCACTGTATTAATTTCTTCATATTTGCCTCTTTTTTTTTTATAGTGAAATTAAGTTGTAATAGTTATTTCAGTGTCAAGGTGGATTTCTTAATTGTTGGGAGTGAAACTTAAAATCAAAGATAAAGTTTTTATTTTGTTATGGGTTAATTGTAAATTTTATTTCGGAAGATCGTTTGATTCTCAATTTGTACCCTCAAAGATAAAAAATCTTAATTTACTCCCTCAAAAATAGAAATTTGTATCAATGTGCATCTGAAACTAACAGCCGTCAGTTTGTTGTCGTAAACTAAATGGATAAATTACACCTAAATTTTCATGCTTGTCATTTAATTATTTGGACTCCTTCACATTTAAAATATTATACTTACACCTCTTGACGTTTGTGCACGTGAAACACATAATCCCTAATCGTTGATATCTATTAATAAAACTGTTAAAAAATATGATTTCATCATAATAAAAAATTATAATTTCATACAACCATTTATTTTGTGGTCCCGTTATATTTTAAAATTTAAAATTAAACTTATCATTTGAATGTCTAATATAATACAGATATTTGTATAATATTTTTTTATATCCAATGCAATACATCACTTGAATGTCCAATTAGGAGAACATTTTTAGTCATATTTGGATTCTCAAAAGATGTAGGTGTAATATTTTAAATGTGAGAGGTCTAGTTGATTAAGTGATAATCATGAAGAGGTCTAGGTGTAATTTATCTATTTAATTTTAGACAGCAAATTGACGGTTGTTAGCTTGAGATGTGCATTGATACAAATTTTTATCTTTGAAAGTGTAAATTGAGATTATTGATCTTTGAGGGTGTAAATTGAGATTCGAACGATCTTTTCAAAGTGCAATTTGATATTAACCATTTTGTTATTAATTGTGGTTCACTGTTTGTGAAAATTTTGGATAGTGAAGTAAGAGTTTTATTATATTAAAGTTCATAGTTAGTGAAAATTTTGTGAACTAGGAGTTTCTTTCTATTAAAATTCGTTGTTAGTAGCTATTTTGTGAATGAGAGAGGAGAGAAATTTGAAGAAGAGAGGAGAGAGAGACAAATGAATGGGAGAGAAAAAATTGAGTAAGGGAGAAGAGAAAAAATCCCAAAAATCCTTGAATGTTGATTTCTTGCCTGTTTTTCTTTGCTCTAACATAATGTAAAAATCCTCTAGTATGATATTCAAATGTACTTGTCAAAGTTAATAACACATGTTATAGTGAGACAGACAACCTCTTACGGTAGTCCAGATGAAAATTTTCAAGAATTACAATCAGGAGGTCCCAACTGTCATAAAAAAAAACCCTGATTTATTCAATTTGTTACTAATTACATGCATCTGAAATTGACTATGAAATGCATACATATACACATACATACATATCCAAACTATGCCTTTCAAAAAGTAGGACAGAGGTTACAAAATTGTTTCAAATTATATTTGATTAGAAAGATTTCAAAAGTGATAGAACTCCGCTGGGTCGAGATAAACACACTTATAACTTAGTCTTCCATAGACAATGATGTGACTTTCATATTTTATTTGTAGTCGTCTTGGTCTTGGTCTTTGTATTGAGCCTAAAAAGATGCCTACTTCTTGCACTATAAATTCCAAGTATAGATCACCATGGAAGATCACATTTTTCTGTCACAACTTGAGTAACTAATTCACTGTGTTTCTGTGAGATTTCATGGCTCTTACCCATACATCTAGTGCTCACAGCCTCTTATCCTATTTTGCTGTATTTTTGGCAGTGTATCTGAATAGTGCACTTGTTCATGGAAGGGCAAAAGAGACCAACTCATACCAGCTTGTTGATGTAGACTCACTGCTGCCAAAACCATACTGCACGACAAATAACCAAGGTCAGCTCTCTACTCATACAGCAAAACTCTCTGTGTGTGTGTGTATTATTTGACCTACTTGGCAAACTCACCTCTCATTTTGGAGAAGCTAATTCCTCCCCAAGAATCAATTTTTTCAAAATGGGGATAAAATTGCTGGAATCAAATCTTGTTATACGCAAAAGTCTCGTGCACTGCATATGATCTTTTTATTCATTTTAGAACAAATATGTATAGGAGAAATAAAGTAGCAATTTCAGATTATACACACAAATACCCTATTGGGGGGGGGGGGGGTTGTTAATTCTTCCTTCTGGCTCAATCTTGAATAAGGAATGTATTTCAGACATATACTTCTATGTCATTTTGAAGAAGCGATAGAACAGGTTATTGTAACATTCGATTTTTATAGGATTAATTTTCATGATTTCAGATCCTACGGTTGGATCTTCAAAGTTGAAAGTCACATATAAATATGGACCCTGTGCACCAATTGGCCATGCAAAGGAAATTCCGAGCTCTGAGCAAGTTCTACTTCATGACGAAGCTAGAATCAAGTTTATGAATGACAGAATATCCAACCTGTATCCGACAGAAGAATCCAATTCACCACTTCCTATTTCAACTGACTCCAAAGAAGCCGGCATTTACACTGTAACCATTAAAATGGGCACACCTCAACAAGATTATTCGGTGAGCATTGACACCGGCAGTGACATCACTTGGTTACAATGCCAACCATGTTCCAAAGGCTGCTATTCTAATCCTAAACTCCGCTTTGATCCCTCCAAGTCCTCTACTTATGTAAATGGTTCATGCAAATCCAACTCTGGAAAGGAATATAACATCTACTACAACGACAAATCGTACTCTAGAGGACAATGGGGATGTGATACCCTCACACTTGAACCCTCTGATGTGACCCCTAACTTCGAATTTGGTTGCGGCCAATATAACAGTGATGAATTTGGCAGTGCGGTTGAGGTTGGAATGCTTGGCCTTGGAAGAGGACCCACTTCACTGTTATCTCAAACTGCTTCACAGTATGGGAAGACCTTTGTTTATTGTTTCCCTGGTCCTATAAGCTCAACAGGGTATCTTTTATTTGGTGACAAAGCCAAATCGTCCTACTCCGCATTCAAATTCACGCCGCTACTAAAAGGCACCGACAGTTCTCTTTACTTCCTCGAACTCGTTGCCATAAGCGTTGGCGGAATGAAATTGAAAATTTCCCCTTCTGTATTTAGGTCACAGGGAACTATAATAGACTCTGGAACTGTCATTACTCGATTGCCTGCACCGGCTTATTCAGCACTGAAGTCTGCTTTTAAGAAATCGATGTCCAAGTATCCTTCTGCTCTAGCGACTGACCTGTTGGATACATGCTATAACCTTGAAAGATATAAGAAGGTGAACCTACCAAAGATTGTGTTTCATTTTGGAGGCAGAGTTGATGTAACGTTACATCCATCAGGAACTGTATGGACGCAGAGCAAAAAACAAGTGTGCTTAGGTTTTGCTCCCACAAATGAGTTGACCATCATTGGGAATAATCAGCAACACGCGCTAGAGGTACTTTATGATACAGAAGGTGGGAGGATAGGATTTGCCAATACAGGCCGTTGCGGCACTTAATATTAATGTCAATCCCTACAGGCACGACACTTTCCAGAGAATTTGCGTTCATGTTCTATATGCATATCCCATTAGCAATAAGCTCTGGATATTTATTTTCTTAGTCATACTGTTTGTCTATTTCATGTATGCTTTGAAACCACGACTGTAAATCTATTATCAAATATATGACAAGATCGTTCTTTGCCTAAGTAGTAGACAACTTTATCCCATGTTGAACGGACTGATTCCAGAACTTGAGGTGTATGTTAGTCAAGCAATTTGAGCTGTCAAGTGAAGCTAATAAGTGTATAAGTGTTGTTTGTGATACTCCAAATATAGTAAAATCACTTATTAAAAATTTTAATTTGTATCGTATAATTAGAATAAATAATAATAATGAAGAACAAAATAGTTATGAGTACGAAACAGTTACAGATATGAACAAAATAGTTACATAATAAATTAATAATTTAAACAATATATAAATTGACCTATTTGTAGATCAGGAACTATTATTGAACTTTTTGCAGATTAAGACTAACATTTGACATTATATCCTTAAGATAGATTTCGCATCCACATACGGTGCTTATGAAAATCAAAACGTATGTCTTTCAGGATACAATGATCTTCATGCGAATAGATGTAGCACTCCAATCTCTTTGCCCAACGAATGAGAAATTGTGTTATGTACTTTCAAACACAGGCTATTAATGATGTATGAGACTGCCATAATGACTATAAAGTTTATTGGATATAAAATGATTATGTAATTGAATTATTTATAGAGAGAAGATGACTGGTCCGAACAATCATCATGTCGAACAGATGCAACCCAATAGACACATGCAACCTAGAAGAAACCATTGATTAACTGTTCATTTATGAACAAACACTATTCAAAATTTGGACTGGAGGGAAGGAAAAATTTGAACTAGTGCAAATTCAAATCCAATAGATCGATTTGAGCAAATGAATATACTAAACGAATTTATTTCGTTAAATGAATTTTTTCATTCATTTCTTACTCAATTTGAGTAAATGAATATACTACGTTATTCTCCTCATGGAGTACAACACGAAACCACAAAAGTTTACTCAAAATAACAATCGGGTCTCACTCTAATTTTGGCTCAAAATCAACCAAAATTCAAATTTTTAATTACTAAAATCTGCTTTAGTCCAACAACGAGACATGCCAATTAGGGAGAGGACAGTCAATCCTCCCCTCTCAGTAATCAAACTTCTATTTTTTACATTGTTTATTTCATGTCTCCTACACGCCTTAGATCTAATCCCTCACCTATATATCAAAAGTTAAAACGATTCAATTGAAAAGGCATTTCAGGAATCCTTGAAGGGTGGATAATTGGATTAAAACGAATTGAAGCATTTAGTATTGGAGAGGAGCCGAGTCAAATCCAATTGAGACTCATATCATTTGAAGTGTTTTTTTTTTCAATTATAGATCACATAACATGAATAAAAGTAGGGTCCATTTTATTCAGCTAGGGTCTCCAATCAATAACAATTAGTTTAGTGGACTGGATTAATTTGGGACAGGGTTTCCCTCTTTGTCTCTATGCTCTACCTCACAACTAATAAGAATCAATGTCTCTCCTATGGTGCTATTTTTGTTATTTGTAACTAATGAAGATTCACGACAGAGACACTTTTTGAATTCAAGTCGGTCTCTATCAATGAGATTAAGTTTCAAATAAAAAATGTTTTATACTAAAATGTGTTCAGATGAAGCTAAACTATGCCCGAACATTATAATTCTTGAGGGTAAGGGTGAATCATTCTAATCATATTCCATTTATGACTCGTGATTGTAACAAACAATTACCCACAAACATATTTCATTAGTTAATCTCAAGTTTTATGTGGCCAATAGGGCTCCAACTTGGAGCATACACGTTTATGCTTAACCTTTTTTTGATGATTGAATTAACTTGTGTTGGTTAGCCAAATATTAATTAGAAGTTGATATCGGACTCAGACTTCACACCTTCCTGCCAAAGTTGTTTTATTACTAGTATGTTTTTGGAAATTTAAGTGGAATTCATGATCTCTCTATAGAAATTGCTATTTTCGTGACTTGAAACTTAATGTTTAGATCATAATGGAGTAAACGAAATTCAAGTCAATTATTAATTTTTCTATATAAATTTGTAGTCGCTAAAGAAGGGAAAATATTAGAAGAGATTAAATAAAATCCCGAAAATGGTACAATAGACGCCCCCCTCCAAAAGAGGATAAAATAATCAAGTCTTGCTACCGGTAAGGATTGACCCCTGGACCTCTTATTCCATAATCTTAAGAGAATCAAGGATGATTAACTAGACTTAGTCAAATTATTAAATCCAAATCATTTTGTTATCAATTCGCGAGTAGTAATATAATATTAAGAAAACCTGAGGGGAAAAAACTCATCTAATTAAGGTGCTTTTAGGGACAGGTTCTTTGTTGCCAAACTAACATAGTTGAAGGTACCGTCAAGTGGGTGCTCCCACTAATGTGAAGTTGGGGATTTTCAGCCTCCTGCAGGTCCTTTATTCTCTCAGCCTTACACGGACCTAAACAGTACCTAATATTAATGGTTTATTTTTAAAAGAAATTTTTTTTTATTTACTTTACTTTAGCTTTTAGGCAAGCTAAGCCACTAATCATATAACTAAGAAAAATGAAAGAAAATCGGTCACTAATGAGACGACTCATAAAAGTCATTTCTTTCACCCCTATTCCCTCTCAGTTCATGCAGTATGATTAGAAAGAATCGATCAGAAGGAGCTGAGACATGCCCTTTTGACCAAGTCTTTAAGGACCCAAGTCAAAGTCTCTGTATTTTGGCTAAAGCAGGTCAAGTCAAATAAACTGCATCAATGGGATGGACCATATTTGAATTTTGCATTTCTAGGAAAAAAAAAGGACAGACTTGTTTTTTTTTTTTGGTGCACTTTCATTCAATTAATATACGAGATGATTTGAGAAAAAAAGAAGAAGAATGATTCTAACTCAAATAATTAGTTTAAAATTGCATTGTAATGGTAAAAACGTTGGTATGATGTTCAATTGCGCTTGTCCAAACTAATAACATCTATATAATAAAATAACTTACTATTCAAATCTCAAAAGATAAATAAAATTATTTTGTTATTTGCGGTTAAGATCGCTTTAAATTTTATTTTAAATTTAATCTAACAACTAATATTAACACCCTAAATTTAATAGGAAAAATAGGCCTATAAATGTGTGTTTGGAGTGACTTTTTAAAAGTACTTCTAAAAATTATTTTTCATAAATACTTTAAAAAAAAATAGTGTTTAAAACCGTCTCACCACTACCTCTACCACCACCACCACCACCACCACCACCACCATCACCCACCACCGCCACCGCCACATTCGTTGATGCCGCCACCACTACCACAACCACCGTTATCGTCGCCACCACGACCATCGCCACCACCACGACCACCGCCACCGTCCCCACCGCCATTATCGCCTCCACCACCGCTGCCACCATGACCACGACCACCTTCACCGCCCCCGCTCCCATTGTCACTGTCGTCACCCCACCGCCACTGTCGTCACCCCCACCACCGTTGCCATCGCCGTCGCCACCACCACCATTGCCGCCGCTGCCACCACCACCACAACCATCACCGTCTCCTACCACAACCACTATTGCCCACTACCTCTCACCCCCTCTACAAATCGATACTTAAATTTCTTTATCTCTTCTCTATGTTTGTGATTTGATTTTAAATATAAATACAAATATATTTATTGTTTAGTATTTTTATTACTCTGTGCCTTCAGACACAAGTAATAACTAGTATTCTATATGGAGTCAAATCATGATATTGGTTCAAGTCAAAAGATTTTAGGAATTATGATATAGAGGTTCCAAATTTGACTCTCATAAAAAATTCAATGATTTGTTCGATGTGCATATCTTTTGGGTGATTGTGTGCACTCAAAATTCATGTTGTAAACACACTCCTAAAAGGGCTTATGATTAGGATACTTCTCGGTTATCAAATTATATATTAGTAATTCAAACTTTGTACTTTCCCACACACATACAGACGCATTATATGTGTGTGTACATATCTATATTACAGATAATTCTTTCCAGGAGTGGACCATGGAAGTCTACAGGCCCAAGATACACTCCACTTGCTTAGACAGCAATGTACCTTGAATGTTATTTGTAGTTTTCTTGGTCTTCGTCTTGAACCTAAAAAGACTACTTAACAAGTGACAACGTCCACTATGAAAATTAACAAGTTGCATGAACCAGTTAAGTGGTCCTCCTTGCTACCCAATTGTCATCCTGGCCTAGTGTGTTCATTCGATTGACCAGTTCATCCCTCTACCTGATCATTATTTAATTTCTAATTAACCCAAATCAAGTTTAATCAATCCAAACAAGAATACATCTCAGACCAAATTACACAACTATTTTCAACCTCAAATATCCTCACCTTCTCATATTAACAATACAAACCCTAATTTACAAATCCGGAATTTCACAATCTACCCTCCTAGGAAGTTTCGTCCTTGAAACTTACAGTCGGTAAGGCAATTGCTTCCGTTGCACACTCTGATATAATTTTATTCTATTTCAAATTATTTTGAAAACATTACATTTTGACGCATAGTTATTAGTATTGTACGCTACGTATCGTGCGATATGTTTCAATATATGAAGAAAACGATACGTATCACTTAAATGTATTAGATTTGTATCATATCATGCGATACACGATATGATACATTGCATACGAGAGGATACATATGAGTTGCCAAATATATCTATATAATAAAATAGTTAAATTTCTTTGTCTTTATCTTTTCGCGGCTAAGATTACTTTAATATTATTGATCCAACGATCAAAACTCCTCCTCCTTTCAACAATTGTATCATATCAGGACTCTGAAGACTTGACTTAAAATACGTATCTTTTGGTCTCTCACTCAGTCTGACCTTCTTTACGGTTCCACTCCAAATACAATATTCTCTTTCTTTCTCTCATAAGTTTGACATCCATCATCACCCTCAACCCACAAAACCCCCACCATACGTCTTTCTCTCATTGTCATTGCTAGTCATCGTCTCTAGCAATAACAGGTTTGATTTTCTTTCTCTGTATTGGATTTTTTCTCTCTGTATTTGATCTTTTTTCTCTCTCTGTTTCTTTATTTCTCTATTTCTCTCTACCCAACCTAGAACCCCCCCTGAAAAACGCAACCCAAAACCCCCTATCCTTCCTCCTTTCATTATGATCAGCAACAAAAAAAAACCCAAAACAATCACAACAGCACATCTCCCCCTATCTCTCATGTCTCCCAACCTCTCCCTCCCTCATCGCAGCGCCTATTCCACCTAGCCCAGCCCAACCCCCCTGCGAATCAAAAGCCCCACCAACGGTCACAAAACCATCGACCACCATTAGCGATAGCCATAATAGCGAAGTTAGCAATTGCGAGTGCCGCCGACGGCCACTAGCAACTGCCATGCCTGTGACACCCCCAGGTAATTCTTTATCGCTCACTATCTGTTCATCTCCTAACTTCTCTATCTCACACTCGCCTCTACCCCCAGCCATACCACAACCCCTTCCCCCTCTTCTTCCTTCCCATAGCCCCAAACCCCTCATAACCCTAATCTACCAACAATTGACACAACACCTCACCACCACCTTACACAAAATTGACATAAACACATATTTGCAGCACATAAACTGCCTGCTCACACTCATAGACAATCGTAAATATACAAATTTTGACATTAATTTATGTTCGATTTTATGTGATTGGTTGAAACTTGAAATGGATTTTTATCAAGTTTAATTTGAGGTTTTTTGTTGTATATCCAGTGCCTTTAGGTTTGCACACACGAAAAGACAGGGAGAGTGTAGGATAGAGAGGCTAAGTGGCTATGTAAGTTCTTCGAATTTTTTAATTTCTAGCTCTATTTTTTTTGCAATTTTGGTTTTTTAAATCTGTTTGTTTTCAAATTTTTGTTTTCCAAGGTTAAATTTTGATCAAAGAGTAACCAAGTGAAGGGGCTAGATCATTACATCCAATTGCTTTAGTTTAATATAATTGTTAGCATAACATATGTTTGATGAAATGTCTCAATGACTGTCTTTGACCCTTGCAAGTCTTCACAATGGTGTGATCCAGATCTGAGAGTCTCATTGATTTGGTTCAACAAGCATACTGGACCTATTCGTGGTGTATCTTTGTCATGTAAATATCATAAATCCTTCAATTATTTGCACACACACATACAATGTTATGTGTGTTTATGCTAATGCGCTGATACAATTTATTTTATTAGGTTTAATCAATATTTTTTTTGAGGTATTTGTATATATGATGTTGTTTTAGGGAGTTTTTTTTTTACATTTTTGTAATAATTCTATTAATATGGAGAATATAGTTGACAATATATTTTGGATTATTTTAAAAGAATTGGTATGAATATTTTTGTGTCATTCTTTTTGAAGTTGGAAAATTGTTTACAATTTTTTTTTTTTTTTGTGTTATATAGTGCCTTCAGGCACAAGTAATGACCAGTCAGGCCCGGCCCAATAGTATTAAAAAAAAAACATGAGTTTTAGGCCCTAAATTTTTAGAAAGCCCCATAATTGTAAGTACATAACTAGTCCATATAAAAAATTTAAATCCATGAAAATTTTAGGCCTTATAAAAAGGCCCCAACAAATTTAAGTCCAATTAAAAAATTATAATTTCAATAATTTGGGTCGACAATTCAATCCATAATATTAGAAACTCAAAAACCAAAAATTTAAAAAAAATTCAAAAATCAACTCATATTTACTCATATCTACTCTATCTCTTTCTTAAAAACAAAAACAAAGTATCACTTCCTCCTCCCTCACTTAAAAAAAAAAAAAAATCTTTTTAAAAAAAAAAATAATACTAAAAATAAAAAGACCTCATTTAGTATTACCGTTTTATGCCTCATTTAGTATTATCGCTTCAGGTCTCAATTTACCTTGAGCCGCCCTTGTGACTAGTGTGTGTGTGTATATATATATATTTGTTTAACGAGGCCTTTGGTCCAATAGTATTCTTTACCTTCTAAAGTCATTGTCTTCTTGAGGTCAAGGGTTCAAACCCTCTTTCTCCCTCCCCTCAAAAAAAAAAAAGTTAGATGGACTTAAAAATTAAACTTGATAATTTCAATCATTGAATAAGTAGTTGGTCCAAATAAATAATGAGACTCATAGTGAAATCAATAATTATAATTATTAAGTTTAATTTTTAAATCTATTTTTTAAATTTACGTAACATTGTTCTTGTTTAACCATGTCTTTTCACATTGAATTACTTTTTTTAAGGTTAATTATTAAATATCTTTTTGAAGTTTGGGTGATGTTACAATTAATTTCCTCTGGTTTCAATTGTAACATATTACCCCCTTGAAATTTTAGAAATTTTCAAATAACTGCCACTATTATTTTTGACCGTCAAAAGTAACAGAAATTAGTCATATGCAAGGGCATGTGATACAACTCCTATGAAAAGTCAAAATTACCCTTAACAAATTCCTCATAACATTTTTTTTTTACAAAATATCTATTATATTTGTGATAATTAAGAACACAATAAATTTTATATCCAAAAACACACTTCAGTCCAACTCAACACCAAAACCCACCACTGTACAACACCAAGCATCATCACAAGCCACCTAGATCTTAGCTCCCCTTCCTGTGCCACTAACCCTTTGTTTGGTTTGAAAGAAAATAGAGGGTAGAAAATTAGAAAGAAAGAATAATTTTTCATCATTTGGTATCGAAAGAAAATTGGGTGGAAAGGTTATCCATCCCCGCCCACCAAAAAAAAACCGTCTGATTTTGGGCGGAAAGTTGACTGGAAAATGGCAGTCTCCAATGGGAAAGATTTTAATTACTAATTTGCCCATTCTACGTTCCAATTGTTTTCAAACTTGAAATGTTTGTGCTGTTGCTCATCTTGTCCATTTGGCGAGACAATATGCCATGTGCTCTCCATGTGAACGGTTTTTTTTTTTGTTTTCTTTATGAGCAATATTATTGAGACATATTAAAAATCTAATTTTTAAAATTTACTATCATGTTATTTAGAATTTTTATTGTAATTGCCGGTAATTAATTTTTTTTGGGTAAAAAATCAGTATTTAATTGAAATGCTCAAACTTATTCACAAGTTTATTGTGAGAGTACAATGATAAATTAATCTTTTATGTGTTTTCTTTTCTTTCGTTTTTCCTCTGATACGAAACAATAGATAATTTATGTCTCTAACTTTTCATCCATTGTACCAAACAAAAAGAAGGACAAAATATTTCCTTATTCTATGGGTGAAAAATTTATCTCTCTTATTTTTTTATTCTTCCTATTTTCCATCACTCCTGCCAAACATACCATTACCCTCACATAGAACCATAATCACACCCGTCATCCCACCACCTCAGTTTTGTCACCACCACCCCCAAACCATTTGTATTCCAATTTCAGTGTTACAAACCACTTATATCTAAATCTTAATAAATATATAGGTGCAAAAATGAATGAAACTGTGTATAAGTGAGAGAGCCACTTGAAGGCAGAGTATTTTGTAATCTGCAACTAGGGGTGTGCATGTTTGATGGGTGGATGGATGCGATGACAGTGATTTCATTGGTGGGTAGAAAGTGTGTGTGTGTGTGTTTGTGAGAGAGAGAGAGAGAGAGAGAGGAGAGGGAGGGAGAGAGAGGGGTTTTCACCAGGAGGAGTTGTTGGTGAGAAAATTGGTTCATCAAGAATGGAAGAGGGGTTTCCATCAGAGAATAAGGGCAAAAGACGACCGACGACGAGTTCAAACAAAAAGCGAACTCTTGGAGAGGAACTAGAAGATATATATACATGATGGAAAAACATTTTGATTAATGGCAATTTTGACTTTTTAATTAATCTTAAATCATGTGACTCGCACGTCCCTAATTTCTATGACCGTTGACTGTCGAAATTAACAAGATGAGTTAATTGAAAAAAATTCTAACTTTGAGGGGTAATTTGTCAAAATTGAAATAAGAGAGAGTTAATTGCAACATCACCCGATGTATTGACACCTGACATTTCAGATTTTTTGACAAAAATTGAAAAAAAGTAAGAAATGATCAGTCATAACCATATTTGAAAAGGAGGTAACCAACTAGAAGTTATCAATGGAGATGATTATCAAAACAACATCCAATAGAAAAAAATAGGACACTTTCAAAACCCAAAAGACCTCCGAGTAGGGTATTATTATTAGTAGTGTTTAGGATAATTTAAGAACAGTTAGTACTGTAGTTAAGGTTATTTCATTCAATTTTTTGTAACTGAAATCCTTTTGTTTGGATAAATAAAATAATTCCTTTTTATTAGGTCTTAGTTTTAATTTTTCTTTCACACATTAAGAAACTTCATCGTTTTTTATCCAAAAAAGGTCCTAGTACAAGCCATTTAAACCTATTCCAAATAATCACCTAAAAGTTGTTTGTTGATTGAGACATTTTTGTCGATCTCAACAAATTTTGGAGCAATATATATGAATTGATTTTTTACACTCAATATCCCAATGCGAATTCAAATCTGAATGCAATTTGATTAAATAGTAAAAATATAAATTATAATTTTCATATTCAAATCAGACCCAAAATTTATATAAACTAATTTAGAAGGAAATTGAATTAAAATCAAATTCGAATTAAATTACAGTTTTAGATCAGATTCTTGACTTTTCGTGGATTCAGGTAGAGATAGAAAGTTGAACCCATCACATATCCAATTTAGACTGGAATCAGAGTAATCCAACTGAATTTGAATTAAAGTTCATCGAAATTTGATCCGTTGACAAACATATCTATCTAATATTATAGTTATAAAATTGAATTCTCAACTTATAAAAGAACAACAATATTTAAGATTGATCCAATCTTCATCTACTTTAATTTAATGTTAAAATTTATACCACAAAATTTTTTTCAGTCTAAAAATATCAACTTTTTTGCATGACCCCTAATACCAGACAACTCAATCAACACATTCTCCAGTGTCAAACAATATCATCAATCCACTCCTACCTCTGTCATTTTAAATTTAAGAATAATTTTGCACAACCCAAAAAGTTACAACCCAAATGCATATCGTCTATTGGATGAGTGGGTTGTGTAACATTTTCCTAATTTTAAATTGCACAATTAAAAAAATTAAATTATTATTTAAAATACAAATGTTGCAAGATCATTTCAATTTTTAATATTGTATAATATCTTCAGACACGAAATTATTGCTAGTCTATCAATATTTTTTGAACCTTCTAGCTTGCGAGAAACAACACTCGCTTCGATAAGTTCCCTACACTAGTGTGAAATAGGGAGCCTTCTATTTTAATACACTTAGTTTGAACATCATTTGAAATAGAGTAATGTTACTTGTACTTAATTTGTTGACTTTATTTACTGACTTAAGACATCATATTTTTTGAATTGATAGTGGACTCCAATTTCTTCTCTCAATGCTTGAGTTCGAGTCTCCATAGCTAGGGTAGCTCATTGGGGCTAAATCTACTTTTTGGTGCCAAAGCATGCGATAGAACCTTAGCTTCGTCCCCAACATAGGTGTGATGG